CTCGATTATCAATCTCCTAAGAAATACTGGATTCTCCGATTCCATTGTTGAGCGATTTTTCAGACCATTTTTCGGCGGGATTTTCTTCGATAGGGAACTCGAGACGACCTCCAGATTGTTCGATTTTATCTTCAAGTGTCTCGCTCTCGGCGATAATACTCTTCCGGCCAACGGAATCGGAGAGATCCCCAATCAGATGGCAGCTAAATTGCCGCCGGATTCCATCTTGCTGAACACCAAGGTCGTCTCCATTCATCCCGACGATTCAAATTCTCAGATCCTGAAACTAGAAAACGGGCAAGTCTTGAGAGCGGATCTCGGCGTAATAATAGCGGTTGAAGAACCAGAAGCTCGAAAGCTCCTGAAAGGCAGCAAAACTCTCGCCCAGAAAATGCCCGTGCGAAGCACAGTCTGCTTGTACTTCTCAGCCAGCCGAGACCAAATCCCGGTGCAGGACCCGGTTCTCTTTCTAAACGGGTCGGGTCAGGGTATGGTGAACAACATGTTTTTCTCTACTAATGTGGCGCCGTCATATGCGCCTCCGGGAAAGGCTTTGGTATCAGTGTCTCTGGTCGGACTTTGGGAGGAGAAGTCGGAGGAGGAGCTAACGGCGGAGGTGGTGAGGGAGCTGTCGGGTTGGTTTGGGGGGGCGGCGGTGGAATCGTGGGCCCACTTGAGAACTTACAGGATTGGGTTCGCACAGCCGAACCAGCGTCCCCCAACCGGTTTAATAGAAAAGCCGGAAATTAGACCGGGTTTATTTCTCTGTGGTGACTATGTGACTTGTGCCACTTTCGACGGAGCTTTGGTTTCCGGCAGGAAAGCTGCGGAAGCATTGCTTAGAGTGAGAGACGGAGCAGTCAAATAAACATATTTTTGTAAAAAAAAAAAAAATTAATTGTTTTTTTGCATTAAATAGTATTATTTTGAATTTTTCTTCAGAAACTGAAATTATTCACACGAACAATATCTAATTCCCTGTTCCTAACACATTCCAGAATTGTTTAGTCGTCAACTTTTCCAAAATCTAACTACTGAACTTCAGTAACTCTTAATACTCATTCATGATGTTAAATAAATCAACATATTATATAATATTATATCATAATATTATACTTCTTCAATATGTACACGATTAAGCCTGTTAATAATTATATAAAATTTTCATTTACATATATACAAGCGTTTGTTTATTTCGACAACAACAAAAAAATGCAAGAGTGTTTGTTTACATAACTTATATTAAATACATAGTAAAGGAAAGAAAAGAAAAGAAAAGAAGAGAAGAAGAAAAAAATTGTTTTATTAAATAAAATAGCTATAATGATCGAGGTATATGATACAACTTAGATGGTTTAAGATTACTAGTAACATTGAAGTACTGCAACGTCCGGATCCACTTCTCCTGGTTCTTCAACAAATGAACCGCAACCGTGTCAGGCCAAAGCTCGTGGGTGCACCGAGTCGGCGGCTCAGGGTAATTATACATGGACCACTTAGCATTGTACCTGTTCTTCCCTCGTCGTCCTTCCCGAATCCACTCCCCAAAAACCTTGTCCTCCGGCCCTTCGAGATGCTTCTTCGGAATCTCCGACTCCTTAATCCATTCAACTATATCCCACGAAACCAGGTAACCCATCCCCGACATGTAATGAACAAAAGGGTCCATACTCGGACATGGAATCACGTAACCATAGTACAGATCTTCTCTTGGCAATGGCTTCAGCGACTCCACCAGATTGTCTAGCCGGAAATAAGCGTCGTCGTCAGCTTTCATCACGTAATGGTACGGCGGGTAAGGCCCGGTTCCGTCAGTGGGGTTCATCATCTCCGGCAAGCTCGAGAAGTAAGTATAAGTCTTACCCTTATTCATGTTCTCTTTACAGTTCATGATTATAATATCGTCGTACCGCATGATCTCGAGAGCGACTAGCACTGTTTGATCTTCTTTCGTTAAGTTGCAGAAGACGAACTTGACGTCGATTTTTGCACCCTTCGGAGATTGCGTACCGTAGATGAGTCGGAGAAAGTGCCGGCGTTGGTACTGGTCGGGAAGTGTTAAGATTCCGATGAGAATTCTAATATCTTCATCTGAATTTTTATCTGCAGAGACAACCGACGAGAGGGTATGATTGGCGTGGAGAGCGCATCTACCGAGCTTCAACAGGCCGTCGAAACGAAGTTCGTTGATGGAAGCTAAAACGCAGAGGAAGAAGATGAAGAAGAGAGAGAAGATGACGAAACGTTTGCCGTGATCTTGTCTGGTAGGTTTCATATTGAGGAATTGGAAGACGACCATGGAGATTTTTTCTTTAATGGTGGAAATGTGCGCCATTAGAGAGTATATGGAGAACGTGAGGGTAGAGCTTTTCTTACATGAAACGCACTAGTCGTCAATGTCGTGTAGTTTAGACCACCTTTTTATTACTTTTCATTGTTTTAAGGAATAATTAAAATTTTATGGAGAAAAATTAAAAAAAAAGGGCATGAAAGTTTTGAAATCCCCACCTCCATTTTCTTCTTCTTCTTCTTCTTCTTCTTCTTTTTATATTATATAATTTTTATTTATGGTGGAATTAAACCTAATGGGGGTCAATAAATTGGTTGCATATTGACGAAGTGATTTGGTCAACTTTAATTAATTAGGTAAAGGTTTGAACTTTGAAGACGCCCACAAGCATTACAAATGCTTGAACATAAAGCTACACTATTGGGCGATCCAAGAAATTAAATATACATATATATATATACGTATATATTTGCTTGTTTTTGAAAGTGGTAAATCATGTTACCTGTTTTTCCATTTATTATAAAATAATTAATTTATATATATATATATATATATTTTTTACATTTTTTTATTTTAATATAATCGAGTTAATTATATTATAATCTTATAAGTCTACGTAAGGTGATTAGTTTTTGTATTTAAATTAAATTAAATTCAATTCAATTTTGGGTTAAGCAAAAGTTGGTATTACAATATACACATGTATTGTTTGGCAACAAATCAAAAGTCATCTACTCCCCATACCAAGCACACAATAGGCATGTCTAATATACTAATAAATAATTATCTATTTATAAATTAAATTTATATTTATATATATATATTTTTTTTAAAAAATGATGATAAAAGTAAATTAGTGGTTCTAACACCGTGCTTATCACTCACTGTTAAATTAAGTTTAATACGATTTGAATTTTTTGTTTGTTTAAATAATTGTTTACCACGAACCGCCGCGTATGCTAAGGTAAAATTTAAAAGGCTGGACCCATCACGGGCTGGGTATGGATATGGGCTTCACCTGTTTTCGGTATCTACAAATAATGAAAGAGAGAAATATATTACTAAATTAAAGAGAGAAATAATTAAATAATTTTCCAAATATATGAATCTTCAACATTACTAAATTACATTATTGTTTTTATTTATATATCATCAGGAACTATCATTATATTGATTTGACGCATATATATATATATATAATTACATCTATGAATGCTACACTTTTGCATGGCAAAACTGGACTGATCTAGAAGTATCTGCATATTTTGAATGAAATTATTGTAATTAATTTATAAGAATATTTATTTAAATTTATAATTATTAACGTTATATGTATTGTAGATAGAATGCCATAACCTTATCCTAATTAATCACTATAAATAATTTTAGTGAAACCGTCAAAAGTGGAAACAAAAATATTTACGTCCACTTGGATCTCCACGTGGAGACAGTTGATTCGTCGTCTTGCTTGAATTGCAGCCTCCTTTGACCACCAGTTTTGTCCACCTCCGCCTGCTCAACCTTATTCTTCTCCCTCTCTCTCTCTCTCTCTCTCTCTCTCTCTCTCCTTCTCTCTTTCATAATCAGATAGGTCAGCCATGCATGAAACTCCCACAACTATAAATATCATACCCATTTCTCTCATTTCACAATAAATACCTAGCTCTGCAAACTTGTATTCGATATATATATATATATATATATATATAAGACTTGCTTTTCTATATATACATCGAATAAAATGGCTGCTTCTCTTCAACTTGTCATCTTTTCTTCTCTTCTAGTTTTATGCCTCGTTCCATTAACACCATTGGCTCAGCAATCTTTTAGACCCAAGGCTCTACTTCTACCTGTCTCCAAAGACGCTTCGACTCTCCAATACACTGCTATTGTAAACCAGAGGACCCCTCTGGTACCTCTCAAGGTCGTCATCGATCTTGGCGGCCAACACTTATGGGTAGATTGTGAGAGAAATTTTGCGTCTTCAACCTTCCGTCCTATTCGCTGTGGCTCAGCCCAATGCTCCTTAGCTGCATCCACGGCCTGCTCCGGTTCTAATACGTGCGTTGTTTTCCCACAAAACGGTGTCACCGGAACGACCACAGTCGGAGATATCGGTCAAGACGTGGTAGCAATTGAATCAACCGATGGGTCGAATCCGGGTCGGGTAGCTACCGCGCCTGGATTCATTATCACTTGTGCACCAACTTTCCTGCTGGAGAGTCTTGCTAGTGGAGCTATGGGCATGGCTGGTCTTGGCAGGACAAGAGTGTCTCTTCCAGCGCAATTTTCTGCCACCTTTAGTTTCCACAGAAAGTTTGCACTCTGCCTTTCATCGGGAAACGGCGTCGTATTCTTCGGGAACGGGCCTTACATATTTCTTCCCGGCACTGAAGATTTGTCTAAATCTCTCACCTTCACGCCGCTCTTCTCAGCCGGAGATCGTTCGTCGGAGTACTTCATCGGCGTGAAATCCATCAAGGTGAATGAAAAGGTTGTCCCGTTGAACACAACATTGTTGTCCATTGGCGGGACAAAGATCAGCACTGTGAAACCCTTCACGGTTTTACAGAGCTCAATCTTCGAAGCTGTGACGACGGCCTTTGTTAGAGAAGCCGCCGCCATGAACATCAAAAGGGTAGCTCCTGCGGCGCCGTTTGATGTGTGTTTCAGCTCTGAAAACATAGTGGGCACTCGGCTAGGAGCAGCAGTGCCGACGATTAGTCTAGTTTTGCAGAACGAAAAGGTGGTTTGGAACATGGTTGGTTCGAACTCAATGGTGGAAGTTAGCAGGGATGTGATGTGTCTTGGGTTTGTTAATGGCGGACTAGAAACCGAAACGTCAATCGTCATCGGTGGGCACCAGTTGGAGAACAATCTGCTCCAGTTTGATCTGGCCACCTCAAGGCTTGGCTTCAGCTCTACGTTGCTCGGCCGGCAAACTACCTGCGCCAACTTCAACTTCACATCCAACGCTTAGAGGATCTTCATCATCAACAAATTGCTTACCTACTAAATTAGTATTATGTTTTTACTTACTGTATTTCTTTGATCTTTGTTATTTGCTATCAAATATTTGTGTGTGTGTGGAAGATGCAGGATGGGCATACGTAAGTATTTCAAATAAACAAATCACTCGTTTTATCTGTCTCCAGTAATATTATTTATTATTACTTCATTTTTTTAACTTCTTAAAATGAACAGTTTGCTAAGTTTTTTTCCTTGTTCAAATATAAAAATATATCTCATTAAATTTCAAAAACAAATTACCACGAAAAATTGGATGAAAAATCAGCATAAATTATATATGTTTAATGATTTAATTAAAAAATAAAAATAAATAGTAATAATTAACATGTTTTTAAAAAATAAAAAAAAATATTTATTAGATAATTGATAATAAGGTTAAATATATTTTTTTTATCCCTTTACTATTTTATTTTATTCAATTTGATTCCTATCTTATATTACTTACTATATTTTTAGAAAATATTTAAACTAATCTCTCAACGACAATTAATGTTTTTTACTTCTGTTACGATTGCATCTGCTTGATTATTATACTAATTGAGATTAAAATATATACTACATAAAAATTATACACTTAAAATAAAAAATATATAAGATTAAAATGTAATTTGCACCCAAAATATAAAAAATATATACTCAAAAAGAGATTAAAATATATGAAAAATAATAATAATTTGTTAAGTGTACTATTAATTTTTGTTCAAATTAATTTTTACCTCAAATTCAATTGCAACAAATCAAAAAATATCATGTACTGTTAGATTTGACATGTGACACTAGTCTTGACAACTTACTAATGAATTAAAGTTAATGAACAAAATTAAATTTTTTTAAAAAATACATAAACTAAATTGACCAAAAATTAAGGTAGTCTAATTTGAACAAAAATTAATAGTATAAGAATCAAATCATTATTTTTTCATAAAACATATACATAAAATACCAAACATGTACTCAAACATATCTCCAAATTATGCTCTTATACTATTTTGCTTTTTTCATATAAGTCCCTGTATTTTTTTGCCTATTTTAACTATGTATCCCTAAATTTTTACTCTATCACCTTTCAACTTTAACTACTGTTTGAGAATTATTAATAGCTTGACAAATGATGGATAATATGTCAAAAATAGTGGACATAAAGAATGACACGATGTATGATGTGGTAGTAACATTATATTAGAAAAACTTAAAATTTTATATAGGTTCTTTTTTTTCCAGCCATATCAGATTTAAAAACTCAAAATTTCAATTGAGTCATCTGATTCCTTCATTTATTTTTGCATTTTCTTTCTCTGAAACTCTATACTATTCAATTTCTTTTGTCTAAACCCTTATTCTATCAAATAAATTTAAGTAAAAAATAATTGTTCTTTCTAAGTCATGCACTGTTGTTGGTGTTTATTTTGGATTATTCAGTTTAAATTTCAAGAAAACATCTTTTGTTTAAGAGTGTATGTCTCAATATGCTTCTATCTTTTCTAAAAGAACCAAAATACTGAATCCGAACAATCATGATGTATGGGTGTGTACGGGCTGTTACTTGAATTCATGTTTGAACTACTCGAGTTTGGATTAACATGAAATGTAGATTGCTTAGAGGAAGGACTTTTAAGAAGCTTTAACGAAAAAGAAGATGCCCCAACATGATCAATTGATTCTCCTAAACTGGGTTATGGCATGTCAATCAGTTTGTCAACATTGATTAGACTCTTTAAATACACAGTTGGCCTCACATGTACTTCTTTCTTTGTTGGCTTTATACCATATCTCGACCAAAATGAGAAAAAGGTTAGAAAGCACGATGAGAAATAAACATGATTTATTACTAGATAGCATAATTGTGAGTTATCTTATCTTGAAGGAATATGTTATTTATCATCTAGTTTGTAAACTATAATATCAAATAGCCTTGAACCTTTTTTTCTTATAGACATATTGGCTTGCCAAATGAAATACTTCTGCACCAACCATATTTACCATGCTCCTATAGCACAAGTAAAAACGTAATGCACTCATCTTCAATCCTTGAACTACCTTTTTTTCGCTCGCAACTCAACGAAGAGTTGGGAATAAGATCCTCAAAGTTGTATCCATCACTGTTGTATGACCCAAAAGAATTTGTCCCTTAGCTTTCAAAGATGGGAGAATAAAGAAGAAGCATTGTTTTGTTACTTTTATTTTATTCATTGATAATGTATGATCTTAAAAAAAATAATTATTTTGGACTAAAATTTATTTGACAGAATAAGGACTTAAATGGAACAAATTAAATATTACAAGTACAAAGGAAGAAAATGGCAAAATAAAAGAAGAAAATTGGGGAGACCCTGATGGAAGTTCTAAAACATGACGTAACTAACAGACCATGCACTACGTCATCATGCATGTGTCATGTATTTTATATGTCATTACCCACATGCCTAGCCATCAAGGACCATCTAACGGTAGTTAAGATTGAT